GAGAGAGAGAGGGAGCGAAACAGGGAGAGAGCAAGGAGAAAGACAGAGAGAGAGAGAGGGAAAGACAGATAGAGAAAGAAGGAATGACAGTCAAATAGGAAGAGAGAGACAGGTGTAGAGAGAGAGAGAATGAAATAGCAATAGAGAGAGAGAAAAAAATGCACAGGAAGAATAAAATACATATATGTATATCAAGAAATGGGATAGAGGATGACGCATGAAAGAGGAGGGGCAGATAGAAAGGGGTGAAGTGGAAAAAAGCTATACAGGAAGCAATAAAGACAGAGCGCAAAGAGCTGCTATCAAAAGTAATACACTGAATACGGAATACAAAGAAAAAGCAGACAGGAGTAAGAGCCAGAAAAAATGGCAGAAGCGAGTAAATAAACGAGTAAGCTATTGACTTAAAAGCAATAGAAGCGAAAGCCATTTGATACTGGCTTTAAATACAATAAAACTTTTGAAATTGTTGCAACCACACTCGGTCTCTCCGCTCCTGTTGGCAGCTAGATAAAGCTAATTCGAGGCTCCAATATTTGCCTCGAACAGCACTTTACCTCAAAACTCACAAATCCCTGGGCCAATATCCTGCTAGACGCCCGAGCCATCAGTCAACACGAACGTGGCGCAGCCACGCCCACAACAGCAGCTGTGCCAAGGAGGCCCAACTAAGCCACGTGCGCTTAGTTGGGGAAACCGCATCAGGCAAATATGTAAATAACTTTTAAGAAATTAAGCACACAGGCCCAAAACAAGCGCCCGAGTAGCGGCGCCTAAGCCAGAAGCTGAAGTGTGAGGCGAACAGGGAGCGGGGGGTGGACAGACTTTTGAGCAACAGGATGGCAGGAAAGCAGCTTGAGAATGCAATCACTTATACGCACCGTTGCACAGGGCGTACTCTGAAAAGTTTTCGGGCCGCGCATTCAAATGGAAGATGACAATGAGGCAGCGCCGCCGTCTTGACTTGCACAACTCAAGCACAAGTGAACAGCGCGAACAACACTCAAAACAGATGCCGCCAGGTACATAACATTAATTACACCGGTTCCGGGCAAAGCCAGAGGAAGAGAAATACGAAATAAGAAATAAAACAAAAAACAAATGAAAATGCGAAAAACGGAAACACTCCTCCGCCCACACACACACACACACAGCCCTGGCGCTGGCTCTGGCTCTGGCTCTGCGATTGCGATTGCCACGTGAACTGTGCGCTTGCATTTTATCTGCTCCAATTGCAGCGCAACGGGGCTCCGCATATTTACAATTGCTCGGCGTTTAATGCTAGTGGGAATTACCATGGCGGGGCACTGGGATGCGGGATGAGGCGGGCGGCAAGGGTTATGGCTCTATCAAACTGGAAGCCAGTGCCCATCAAATATTCAAACGAAACCAAAGAATATGGCATGGCCAAAACAGTGCAAAGCATGCAGCTAAATACCATAGGATTTTCAGGTTGCACATGGACTTTGGGGAGCAGGAGTAGAAGTATATGGGGAGAGTCCTTATAGAGTAGTCTTGTAATACATATAAATATAGTACTATAGGCATTCTCCTGTTCCATCATATCTTTCAGCTACAAACTCATTCAGTACTTCTCTCAGACTTCCCTCAACGTTCAGCCAGCAATACTTAACTCCTTCACAGCCCTTCATGCCCCGCCATCAGCCAGCAGCCATTGACCGCTAAGTAGTCTACTTACTCGCTTAAAAACGTTATGGCCCTTTAAGGCAACCTCCAGCTCAAAGCTGATTGCAGGGTATTTGAGAGTGAAATCTTTTTGCATACGGGCTGAACAGTAAACAATAACAGCCCACAACAACCGTCAAGGATGGCAAGCGATTACAGGACACAGCGACGCCCCATTCACACACACACACACATACACACAAGCATGAGTGAAAGAGATCGACTATAGACAACGGTTTACAGGACGAGCAAAGGACTATGGCATACGGCTAAGTGTTTTGCAACGGAAATGCCAAGCTATCATGCAAAAAGCCAACGGCAGATTAACGAACCATGGCCAAGGCATGCCAAAGGTACACAGGATGCAGATAGAGCAAGCCAGATACAGAGGGAGAGAGAAATACAGTGATAAACCGAAAGAGAGAGAGAGAGAGAGAGAGATGAAGATAGAGGGCACGGAATTCACGATGGCACGTGACGCAGCGACAGTCCATGACCAAGTGCTGATTTTTCATCCGGCCAAGCAGAGTGGCCAAAGCGCAAAAATACGACTAAAGGTTATTGACATTGTCGCCAAGCCCCAAACGCACGAAAACAGCAACAAATGGCAGACAACAAAAAGCAATAGCAATAGCAACAGCCAACAGCCAACAAAACATTCAACTGCAATCAACGAAATTTTTCCTATATACCATATGAGGTATATGGTAAATTACTTTTTGCCAGGGGCGAACTGTCGTCTGGGTATTGAAATACGTTTAGTTAGCATCCAAAGTGAACCAGCTGGGAGTTTCCTTTAAGAGAAGTTCAAATTTAGAGATGAGTGGAAATGGCTGGACTCGGGGTGGAAATTGAAAACTAAGAAAATGAAAGTAAAGATTTTTGAGCAGATATTGAGAAACCTTAGGAATTCTACATATATAGTACTAAGATATATCTGCAGAACCTTCAGAGAACAGTGGCTTCAATATCATATACTTAAATGTTACTATATACGACATAAACCTCTCTGACTAAGCTACATTTTGCTTTATTACCCTTTTTTTTTATTAGAAACCTAACATAGCCTCAACTACCACCGTCTCTAATACCTCTAGCTGCACTACCTCTACTTACCAACCTCTACTACCTCCGTCTCTAATACCTCTTGCTGCACTACCTCTACGGACAACCTCCACTACCTCTCTCTCTAATACCTCTAGCTGCACTACCTCTACTTACCAACCTCTACTACCTCTGGTTCTCTACCTCTGCCAACCTCTCCTATAGCGGACTCTACCACCTCTAACTCTACCAAGCTCCACTACCTCTCCCCCTTGCACACAACAAACACCCTCTCCACTTTAAAACGCAACAAAATAAAAACCTTGAGTAGAACTTTTTAAAAGGTGAAAATGTTCTTTTCCCGTTCTTTTTCATTTTAAGCATTAATTTGTGCCAACACTTGCGACAAAGACAAAAACAAGTTAATGAAAGAAATAAAAAATAAAGCTCCACTTTGTTAGTTGACCAGCTCTATATATAGAGACTGGCGCTGTGTGTGCACGTGTGTGTGTGTGTGTAAACGTTCCCAACTTGGGCAGACCCATTAACCATTACCTCAACTTTGTCGATTCCCTTTTGGCCGATGGGTCGCTAATTGTTTGCAGCATGGACTATCGCCAGTACAAATACCTCGACCTCGACCCAGCCTGGACGCTGCTCCGATTATAGTAAAAGTGCGTTAAAAGGCCCTTCCTACCCCTCCCTACCCCCTCCCGCCCAGATTGTGCCACGTTCAGCTGAAGTGCATTTGGCCCGATGGCGTTTTACTGTTTGCCTTAATTGAAAACTTTCGCGCAGATATTTTTCGTGTTTGGCTTCGTAATATACAAAAAGCTAGCTGAACAAAAATAGAATAAAAAACAAAGTGAATTGGAAAAGTTTCTAGTTCTGAACGCTTTGCCGCCTTGCATTTGTTTAGCTCTACTAAGCGACTTTCAGGAGCTTAAAGTTTCAGCTACCAAATGTTTCAATGCCTCGTCCCCGTCGAAGCTGCGCACCCCGTTGGTAACAGCTATCCGAAAAGTTGGCCACCAATTAGTTGGCCAGCCTTACGGGCGCAGCTTCGATGCTTTTCTCTGCATTTTCCATGCTGCTGAAAAGCGCATTACAATTTCCCTGCCACACTCAACGCTCTCATCAGGCCACACTAATTAACAAAGCATGAGAATTGTTTGGTGTTTTTACTTTTCGTTTATCTATTAGGCATTGGGGCTTGTGTCTAATAGCTGCTTATATATTATGCATGAATCGAAATTGCTTTTAATTCACCCAAGAAGTATTGTAGTTTTTTCTTCCGTTTTTATCTAAGCAATTAGCTCGTTTGGGAGTATACTGTTATTAAGGCATTTTTATTAGCTTTGTGCATTATGCAAGAAAACTTCTTTTCAAGCCAAGCATGTTTTCTGCAAGGCGTACAAGCTGTTCGTAAAATATTGGCGGATCATAAATTTGCCGGAAATTCTCGCCGTTTTTAACTAAGTTTTAGGCTTAGCAACTATTTGAAGCAGTTTAATATGAACTTTGGTGTAGTTGTACTTGAGACAGGGTCTTAGTTCAGTTGGCTCAACCTATTTATTTAGGGGTATTCTCTTATTGATCGTATTCGCATATATAGCCCGCACAATTATTGTTCGAGTGATATGCTTTTTTTAAGCAACTCACGTCAATGTGTACATGTGGGCGTACTTGGTTATATCATATATTATTATATTATTATATCGATATATTATAGATGATCGTTATTGTAATTTTGTATTTTATATATGCATAAATTGTGTCTATTTTATCTGGCAGGCACATTTAAATATATATGCTGTATATACTTGAATATATATATATATACTTGAATATATACTTGAATATATATACTTGAATATATACTTGAATATACTGATGTAAAATATTTAATTAATAAATTTAATAACTCTTTTAAAAATCCCTTTTTTTCCAGAAAAATGTTCGGAGAAAATGATTATTAATTTTGGCAATCCTTAGCTTTACCCTGGTCATCTAATATATTTATTAATATGAATAATTATATATATATATAAACATAGTTAAATAAATATTTTTCCAGTATATCATTAAGTTGTCTTTCACCTAGAATATGTGTGTTTATGTATGCCCTATAACAATTTGAAGCCGACTTTACTTTCGCATACCTCAAAAACACATGCTAACGACAGTCCCCAAGCACATAGTACCGGCCTTTAGTATACTTGTATGTACTACTGTATGCTTCAATATAAATACAAATTGATTCTACTCACAATTTCCCTTTGCAGCTTCGCAATATTAAAGTTGGCCTGGGCCAATCGCACGCTCAGCGTTGCCACATCGCTGGTGAGCTGCGCTCGCTCGTTGGTGTTGCGATCGACTAGCTTGAGCATTTTATCCTCCAGACTCTGATTGACTTTCTGCACGCGCTTGTGCGACTCGTAGAGTCGATCGTATTTGTCCTGCCACGCAATCACACTGTCCTCCAGCTCCACCTGGCGCTCCGTTTCACGCAGGCAAGCTGTTTCCAAAGCGTAGAGCTGCGTTTGCTTCTCGAGCAGCGCCTGCTGCAGTTGCTCGATTTCTGTGGATGACGCGGATGTTGCAGCAACTGTTGCTGCTGCTGCTGCTGCTGCTGCTGTTGTTGTTGCTGTTGTTGCTGCTGTGAGCGCACCCTGTGCTGTGTGCGCATCGGTGGACGGCTGCAATTGAGTGGATGACAGCGTTTGTATTAAATTTGAAATTATGCGTTGTTTGTAATTAATTTTGTTTCCGCCAGCGCATGCCGGACGCAAGTGTCACACGTTTTCGACTGCAAAAATGCTACTAAGCTCGCAGCAGGCCGCGCAGCAGCGAGAGAGAATGGCAGGGAGAGAGAGAGAGAGAAAGAGTGAGAGGAAGAGGGTACCACAGCAGCATCCAACCTATACAAGCAAATCATTATTTATAAAAAAAAAGATTGGAGCGTGCGTTTGCCTCTCATAAAAATGCACGTCATGTTCATAAAGTTCAATCGAGAGGGTTGTAGCTGGAGCCAGGGAGTGCAGAAGAGGGAGAGCAAGCGAGAGAAAGAGAGTGATAGTCACATCGTATAGAGAGAAGCGCACTGATAACAGCAGCTCTGCCTTGGCGTTGTTTCAACAGTTTAAGCTTAACCAACGCAACCGAACAGCATCTGGTTTGACTTTGCTTGCCTCCAATTGCAGAGATAAGACAAAATAGATTAGACTGTATAGATGAATAGAACTGATAGATATTCAGTATGTATGAGCATTACTATACATACGTAATTTAGAATTCGTTTTATATATCATATTTAATATAGATTTTTCACAAGAAATCTTAGACTTTTCTCATCTACTCTCTAAACTCAACCAAACTGTAATCTTTGGCAAATATTTTTATATTTTACAGGGTATATAGCAATCTGCTAATCTCTTTTTCACTCTACCCATTGGCTTTGCTTGTGAGTTCACAATTTGCACAGCAGGTCAGCCACTGATAAGCTGCAGATAATTAAAGAGTGACGACTGAGAGGGGCAGGCTGCAAGAGATAATGAGATCATGTTGTGTAGAGTTACGATCTCAGAGAGACTGAGAGAGAAGAGAGAGAGAGAGAGAGAGTGATTGAGAGAGAGAGAGAGAGAGAGAGAGGGAGAGAGAGCGCAACTAACAAGTAAAATTTATGATCGTCATGTAATTAAATATTAATGAGCTTGTTTTAAATTTATTCTTTCTGTTTAATTTCTAAAAAATATATGACATGCATATACATATAAATATATACAAATATACATATATAGAAGATATACATATATTAATAAATACATGTATGACTATCTCCTACAACAGCTTGTAAACTAAAATATATATGTTGTCGAGCTCATAAAAATATTACCTTTGCGTTATGCAAAACTTAAACCAAATAAAAACATATTAAAAGCCATTGAAAATGTATAATATGTTCAGTTTTTGCTTAAAATAGAATACATATATATGCACAGAAATATCCATATATAAACAAAATATTCCTATAAAATGATCGACTAGCCATTAAGCTTAATAGAGCGCATAGAGTGGACATACATAGATCTACTTTTGGCAATAAATTCTAAATGTAACATATACAATTATTTCTAATATATATATGTATATGCATGTGCACTTCTGCTCTACGTATAGTTCCTTAAAAATATTCATACACTCCCCGACACATGTGTTTGTTATTTGTTCTCATGTTATACGAAGAATGAATGTCGGATATCATAAACGCCTTTGTGACATATAACACATCTTATCTCAGATACTCTAAGCTCTTATCTCTGGTGGTATTTGTTATCGTGACTGGATGATAAATGCGAGCCAGCCAAAGCAGACGAGGTAGGTCGAAAATCAGAGTGCAAACTGCGTTCATATGTGCTCAATGCCAAGACGGAGTGTTGTTGTAGTACGTGTGCATCTAATTGGATTAAGTTGACAGAAAACAAAAGCAACAACGAGGCAGAGAAAAGAGACAGAGACAGAGACAGAGGTAGTGGGAGAGGGAGAGGCAGAGACAGAGACAGCGACTGAGGCAAGCAGAATGCAGGCAGCTCAAAACTTTGTCTTTGGTTACAGTCGCAATTGCAAGAAGGCTCAGAGCGAGGGAGAGAGAGAGTGAGATGGAGTGAGAAGGAATGTGAGCGTGTGTGTGTGTGTGTGTGAGAGAGAGAGAGACAGCGAAGTCAAAGGACTTGCTTGTCATATATGAGGAGACGTTGGGTTCGTCGTTGTCTCAAACTCAAACCTAAAAACTGCAAAATGTACAGAAAATTTAATTAAAAAAGGATTTTCGGGTGCTGGCAAAAGTTACTTTGGCTTCGCTGCTGACTTGGCCCGCTCAAAAATTATGCTTCACATATACATACATGCATATACATATACATATATATGGAATACATATATAGATAAAGCAAATTGAATTTATAGTTCTCGATGTGGGCGTGGCAAATTGCCAGCGACAGGGCAGCAGCAATTAATTAATTTAGGCAGCGAGATTGCAGCAAGAATACGACTCAGCTGGAACAGTGGGTGTCCATGTGTGTATGTATGTGTGTGTGCATATACATATATGCAGTTATATTGCACATCTCTCAGGCCTTTGCTTGCATTTTAAATTGAGCTTTTTGTTTGGCTTTCATCATAAAATGGTTTTCATGTTTTACATTTTCTGCTGTGTTTTCATGTTGTCAGCGGGTTTCCCCTTGTTGTTGTTGTTGTTATTGTAGTTGTTGCTGTCTCTTTAGTTCTGTTTTGAATAATTTAGTAAATGTTTTCTGATTGCTTCATGGAATGCAAAAAGTTACATTAAATTGACATGTTATGCAAATTGGAAACAATTGAGAAATATGTTTTGGATATTTAACTTTTTTGTATCGTGTTAAAATGTATTTTTTTATTTTATTTTATTTTTTTTTTGTAATTATAATTGTAAATAAAATATATTTAAATATCATTGTATAATTCAAAAATAAATATTTAATTGATTTTATAATTAGAAACAAATATACATATGATTATGAATTTAATATGATAAATGCTGACAACAAATAGGAGTAAGATAATGGGGAATGCCTGACTAGAAAATACTGTAACTACAGTATAGAGCTGCTGTTCTTCTAGTAGCTTATACATATACATATACATACATATGTAAGCATAGATGAAGACGGAGAGATAGAAATACAAAACATGAGAACTACTTTGAATATCATCTAGAATATATTCTATATATATAAAGCAACCTCTGCCTATGGCACAGATTGTATTCCCATAATAAATTTCTCTTCAGTTACTTCTCAATTTGAAGGCAGTCGAATGAAAATATATAACAATTCACAAAAATAACCTAAATGCCCTTCAAGCACTATTTGCCTAAAGTTACTCTTCTCTCTGACTGAATTCAAATTTACTCCAGCCTTAATTTGTTAGCCGCCCAAAAGGAGCGCAACCACATCAATTAGCTGATGAGAAACGCGACACAGATTTGCAGCTCAACAATTGGTTCATCATTGTGATCTGGCTAAAGGGAAAGATAATGAAAAACTAAGACACAGGCATAAATCTTTTGCACGCTCAAATGCAGCTGAAAAGAAAATTTCGACTCGTTGTTGTTTTTCCCCCGTTGCCTTGCAGCTCATTTTTCACGCCAAAAAAACGAAGAGAAGAGAAGAGAAAAGAAAAACAAATTCGCAAAATGAGCACTGCGAAAACATTTGGATGGCAGGAGCGAACCCTTTTTATATGGTGCCAAAAGATTTTCTAATTGTCATCGTGCCTTAAACACAGCAGAAATTGTGAGTGGGGGCGGGCGGGGGCCACGCCTTACTCATGGTTGCATTTCACTTGGCTGTGCTTGGGGGACTTGTCATTATTTATTATATTCCTCAAGTCCTTTCATTACAAAATATTTTTGTCTTTCATTTGTTGCCTTTTGTGTGAGTGCGTGTGTGTGTGCGAGTGTGCGTGTGTGTGTGTGTGGGTTAAATTTGTCTTTGCATTTCTCGCATTCCAAGGCGAAACCTGCTTATTTACAGTTATTCAGTTATTTTTTTTGCTCACCAGCAGAAAAAGGCTTCAAGGAAAAATGTGAAAATGTAAAACGGAAGTTGCCATATGGAAAAGCTCGACGCACTCATCATTAACTAAGAGACTGACAGACAGACAGACAGACAGACAGAAGACGTCAGATAAAAGGAATCGACAGCAGTTACAGCTCAGCTCCGGCTCGTTTTCAGCCTCATTTGAGTGGATAATTAGAGAGGACCCACAGTGGACCCTCGAGAGTGTGCGCCGAGCCCAGCACATTTTGCGCTTGTGTTGTTTCAGTAACCAAAAACTTTCGTGCCCATAATCAATAAATGAATTTTGTAAACATCAATAGAGTTTCGCCTTGGTAAACAATATGCAGAGCTCTTAGAGGAGGCGGCGGTGGCAGTGGCGGTGGCTGTAGCTCGTGATGAATGGAAGGTCAATTGCGGTGACCCCAGCCAAAAGGGACCTGGGCTGCCACAGCGCTGACATTTAACACAAACGACGCGCGCCCGTCAATGCCAATGTGTTGTCAGTGCAGATGGATATGAGATGTGCCACAAGCAGGAGCAGGAGCAGGAGCCGGAGACATTGTCAGGCGGCAGGCAGTCAGCCAGGCAGGAGCTGTAGACACAAAATGGTGACGGAATGTTTATGCGAATGCTTGGGCACAAACATACGTGACATGCCTCAGCCACAGCCTCACTCTAGTCTGTGCTTAAGCAGCGGAAGCGTTGTGCAGCAGCCACTGACAGCCGTGAGACGCAACTGCCAGCCTGAAAGCAAACACGAGCAGGAGCAGGAGCAGTCGCTGTGTGCGACCGCGACAGGAAAAGAAGTTAACGCAACGCGGTGCCTTGCCAATTTGGATCTTTCAGCTGGAAAAATGGCTGGAAACTCTGGTATCGTCTGCTGACAGTTGTCGTCATATTTTTCAAGCGACAGCAACATTTGCGCACAGCAACTTCAAGTGTGTTTACGCACAGTGGTTAGAGAGTGTGCGAAATGTGTGTGCAAGTAATGGAGACGCTGCGAATGCTAACTAGGTTTTAGTTACACAAATGTGATTTATGTGTTTAGGGGGCAGAGCGAGAGTAGAAGCAGGCAGAAGGTGTCTTATTACGTATGTAAT